ACCAGATATTTTGACTTTAAGCTGCGGCCTTCACGTGGCTTCGAAAGAGTGCCATTAGTCGGACCAAGCTCATGACCCCCCCCCCCCCCAATGGGTGCGGAATGGCTAGTGGTAGCCAACAGTAGCTAGAGGTTTTTGATCTGGCCGAATGCCACCCACGATCAAGGTGGGTACCAGGCGGTAGGACGTGGTTAGGGTTTGCTACACTGAGGCCTGCCTGGCTAATGGGAGTCCAACTCCTGAGCCGGTTTCCTTATTAGGGAGGGAGCAGCGGCCGCTAATTCTACCGTCCATACTGACAAAAGCCGATCGCAAATCATGAGTCGGATAATTGTCTTGACCACTTCCGAACCCCTGAGACTACCTCATTGATACAAAACTACAAATTTGATATAATAGCTGATGTGACGGGTTATAACCCCCCCCCCCTCCCAACCATCGCACCTCTTCCCCCAATCCACCTCTTAGAATTTTCGCTTTTGTTTACGCCACTAAAGAACGATAAATCATTTCAAATTATGCATCTTGTTACTTTGTCCAGGGGAGGTAATAAATAATTAAATTACTTAACTCAACAAAAAGAGTTAATTCGTATGCCACTAAGTGAAGCCATGTAGTAATAAGAATACTTGTATAAAAATGTATTTGTTTATATATTTGTTAAAAATAACTTAAAATTTATTTATTCGTGTAAAATATATACAATATGTTTTACTGCAATATAAAACATGCATACATTAAATATATGTTCAAGTATTTTTGTTAAATAAATTATTTTTTTCTAAAATAAAGCATTGTATAAAATATCCAACACTGATAATCATTTTTCGCTCTTTTGATGATCAAGGGATACTCATCGACAAACCCTATTAAGAAATTGAAAATGGTTCTGATGTACAGATTACATTGCAGCTTTTACTTAGAAAGAATAAATTGCGTAATTTAACAACTTTTTTTTTCAACATAGCAGTTTTTTCAAGAAGCATTTCCAAATCGTGGAATTTAAAGTTTTGTTAAATCAATTTAAATTTGGGGTCCATCAAGATGTAAACAAATAAACAGTTATTGATTAAACTTTTCCATGAGATGATACAACAAACGACAGCCGCTCTTCAGTCGAGCCAGGAGCTAAAAGACAAAACGTGAGTTTGATGCTGCTGACAATTAGTCATAGTTTTAATGTGGGCGGGTGTTTCCTGAGGGTCAATCCCTTATTGTATGATTGTTTTAAAGCAGGAGTCTCCAAAATACGGCCTCTTATCCGGCACTCGGGGATCTTTTTGTCTACGGAAAAAAAAATTGTTTGTTGGTGGTGGCTGAGGAAAAATTCAAAATAAACTGAAATGTAGCATAGGCTGCAAATACCATTGAAGACAATGTGGCCAGATGCCCAGTATACGACCTCCTTAAAGACAAGTTCAAATAAGGGTGGGTGGGTTTTGTAAGTATTTGCCCAACGAAGACTTTACTAATATTAAAACTTTTGCATCAAAGTAGGCCCTACCTTTCAAATTTTGGAACAACATAAAAACTTTATCAAGAACGAAGTAGACCTACGTGAAGAACAATTTGAGAACAAACTTGGACCTCGATTGTGTTGTCGTTCCCCGACAGTGTTTCTTTCAGACTTTTTCTCTTGAAATTTAATTCCGTTGGGGTGGGAGGGCGGGGGGTAGACTTCTTCGGGGGAAGGGAGATGCCTGGTAGAAACTCTGGCCCCCGAACTTATATTTGATAGTTAATGCGGCCCTCGGAGTGAAAAGTTTGGAGACCCCTGTTCTAAAGTATACAGAGCAGGTAAAATATATGATGCTTGGATTGATAGGATATATTGCAATAGACAGAACGTGAGTTAACGTCTTGGTTCCCAAATGGAAGATGAAAATATTTTTTAGTTTTAATGTACAAAAGATGTTGGGGCCTAGGTAGAGGCGTAGCGAGGGCAGGGCCGAGGGGGGGGGGGATGCAGGTCCTCATTTAGGAATTACAGACAAAACACAGTACATTCAACAGATTGATCAAGGGCAAAAGAAAAATAGTAAACTAACCGAATCCAATTTTTCAAATGAGTAACCTGTTAGTCTATTTTTTGTAGGTAATAAAAAATAAATAAAATTACAAAAAAAAAAACCCAACATCTTTGCTGTAGACCAGACAGCGGTCACTGATTGATTTGGTCGTTATCGTTGGTTCAGGCGCTAGCCAATGAGGTCTTCGTTGTCATGGCGCTTGTAGCCGTCAAGTCTGAACCAATCACACAACATCTTACAGACAGGACATAGGACTTGCTGGGTTTTAATGGTTGATTTACTGACTAATCAAATAGTCGGTTTGCCGAGCCAAGCTATAGGGCTTGTAATTAGGTCGCCAACTACTTATCATACTAGCTAGCTAGTATTTTTCAAACCAATTGTAAATATGTTTATTAAATCGGTAAAAAAAAAATTACTTACGCTATTGTTAAGTCATTTAAAATCGTAAAAACTGATAATGATCTTTGAGAATTCACCTGACCCTGGCTAACGAGATTTCAAATTTTAAGTAAGAGAAGCAAAGAGACTTACAAGCCCTATACCGTAACTGCTAGTGGTAGTGTTTGTAAGTTCAAAAGATAGATCTTTTTACTGGTTTGTATTTATACACGTGTCAACAGCCTTACAATGGGACAAAAGGCCAACGGAATGAGCTTATACATTCCCTACTGGCATTAACCCAGAGGCGTAGCGACCCTTCCCGGTGACAAACTTTCAATTTGACGCCCCCCCCCTTCCCCATGTATTGTTTATATTTATAATGCAAAACTGCAGCTAAAATGAGCCCCTGCACCTCCTTCGCTACGCCTCTGCATTAACCCTGTTTTAAACATAAAGACTAGTGCTATAAAGTGCATCATAGTGCTTTGGACGAGCATGTATACAAGAACAATGACAACGAAGGCATCATGTGTAGGCACGTGGACCAGCAATAACAGCACAAACGGCGACATACCAGTATAGCAGTACTGCTTGCAACACGTTGATAATGGTACTTTGATGTTGTTCGTGTCTTTTTCATCATATCCCCATGGGGTGTATAATGGTTTCTCAATTTAAGAAAATGTTATGGTATATAGAGCCTACTGTTTATCATTGGCCTTTCACTAATTGATTATCTTTTGTCTATAATCGTCAAGGGGAGGGTAACTGGAAATTTGTTTGATCAAGTGTGAAACCTGTAGATGATATCTGGAAACAGGATCCAAACAACAGACAGCCGTGTGTTCTACTTGTCTTACCTAATCCTCAACATATGTATTGTTATGAAGCACGCAATGTATTTCCATCACCAGGTTTGGTAATCAAGACGTTAATCCACATTTTGATAATGTAAGCATACCTTATAAATTCACTCATAAGATGTTTTACCTATACCCAATAAATGTGAATACGTTTTTTGTTAGGGATTGATCAAAAGGAAAATGCTAGTACACGTATAAAGGGATTGCTCCAATGGGAAACAAAGCCAGTTCACGTATACAGAGATTGCTCCACACAGTACTATTCCCAGTGTAAATCCGACGCTTGTATATATAATTTTTATTAAGTTATGTAAAACACGTGAGATGAGATCGACAACTGAGACCGTCGGCAACAAATTATCTCCCATTAGATCATTTTGACATGAAATGCATTGCAAGGGAAATAATAAAGTCAAAGAAAAAAAAAGAACAAATAAAATACTTAAAAAAAACTTTTTAAAAAACCACGTTTTTCTTGTGGACTAAAAAGTAGAAAATAACTATTTACATACATTTGATGACAAAAAACGTGGGTACGTTCACCATTAAATTTCCCGACCCATCTGCCCGACCCACGTTTTTTGTCATCAAATGTATGTAAATAGTTATTTTCTACTTTTTAGTCCACAAGAAAAACGTGGTTTTTTAAAAAGTTTTTTTTAAGTATTTTATTTTCTCCTTTTTAGTCCGTTGCTACACATGAAAAACGTGATTTTTAAAAAAGTTTTTTATATAGTTTATTTTCTACTTTATCTAATGACTTGATTAAGTATGAATTGACTAAGTGTTTATAAATACACAGACTAAAAAAATCTTGAGCGACCAGGATTCGAACCTGGGTTGTCGCGGCCACAATATACGATCACGGCCAGCGCGCTCACATCGATTGGGGCCGAAGTAACTGTGTCAATAAGCCTCCAGTCTTGTCGGTATCTTTATAAATCATGTCCTCAATTTTATGGTCCTTGGGGCGTAATTAAATTAAGCTAATTACGGTCTCTAATTGCTAGTTTTTATGATTGCATCTGAAATTGTTAGGCGAAAGTAACCTGCATGCCAAATTTCAGATCTATAGAGCAATCAGAAGTGGGCTAATTTTCGATGTCAATTTTAACAACAAACACACAAACGCGAAGCTGAGTTAATAAAAACGTGTTAAAAAATTTAGACACGCTATCTTTTAACATTACACCTCACAAAGATATTTCAATATATATATATATATATATATATATAAAGATATTAAAATAAGCATTCATTATTTTGATTGATTATTGACGTCTACACAAAAAATATATAATTTATTTGTAATATTATTTTAATTAACCCATAATTCTTTTTAAAAAGTAAATTAATCAATAAAATGAATACTTTTATATATGATACAACATCTTTAACAATATAAATTAAATTTTGGATCCCTTATAACAAGGGACGAAAATTAAAAAAAAACAACTAAAAATCTAGTTCTTATACCATTTTATTTTCTCCCTTTGATTATAATATATGCAATTGATGTTCATGTTTTTGATGCTGTGTAAGACTATCAAAGAAATAATTATTACTGATTTAAATGTTTAAAGCAATTGAATTAATAAAAAAAGTATACCCCTCAGAGGCCCAAATTATGTTGCAACGGTAGGAAAAATATTTCATTTGGTGTACATGCATACTTTTAGGATAGAAATCAATATCAATCATAAAAAAAATTACAATTTTGACCGTGACCTACTTTTCCAATTTGTTCCACTGGTGACCCACTGGGCTTTAGAGGTTATGAAAATACAATTATTCTTACACATAAATATTTAAAATGATACATTTGTTTTAAACTTTATAATACTTTATTTTAATTTTGAACATTTCAATCATTCATGAGCTAAAATGAAACTCCCTGAAGCAGTTTCTTTTCTCTGTGAAACAAAGAAAAACATTACACTTTTCACAAACATTGTTTGTTTTAAGGCTGCACAATCTGCATCGTTGGTGATTGTCATTTTTTATTATAAAATGATTGTAGCCATCTGTTGCTATTTGTGGATTGGGCAGAAGTGTTTGCAGTCGTCTTCTTTTTACAAGGCTTTCTTTACTGCACTCTGCAGATGGCCACCCCCGTTTCCTTTCACTGGAATTTTCAAACTGAATAAGAAGTGTTGCTAGCCTGGCTTGAAATTTTCGCTGGTTCATTGTGTCCCGTTTTGAATATCCAAGCAGACCAGTGACACGACGATAAGAAAGCCAGGCATTCACAAGCATCATTCTAATGGTCTGCCAAAAAATGTACATGTACCACCGCTTGGACTTAATGCGGTAGGAATTTTTGGCCACACAACAGTCATGAAGGTCTACCCCTCCCATGTTTTCATTGTACAGTTTTATAACTGCTGGCCTCTGTACTGGGACATACATTGATTTGGATTTTTCAAATCGACTAACTGGATTTCTGGGATCTGTACCAGAGAATGTAGATAGTACATTGACAGCTCTTGTGTCGTACCAACGAACAGCGACTATTTTAGTGTTTTTTTCTATGGACTGGTCCATAATACCACGGCCTTTTTTCTTCATTTCAGCCTCATTCTGAAGATTGATTCCTGGTATACGGTTAGGTCTGACTGTGCCTGTATAATGAATACCTAGCTTCTGCAATTCAACTAAAAGAGCCATACCTGTAAAAAAGTTATCTGCATAAATTTTATAATTGAATGAGGGTTGTCCAGGTACATTTTGTGGCAAAGATGAACACAGCTTTAAAATTACATCCGCACCAACACCAAGCAAACTTCGTTCTTTTCTCTCTTTATTGCCTTGATAGACATCAAAGTCACACACTATACCAGTAGCACTAGCTCTAACCCATACCTTGATGCCCCAAGGATGTGGCTTTCCTTTTACATATTGCTTTATTTTGCTAAATTTACCTTTGAAAGGTATCATCATTTCATCTATGCTGTTATTTTCATCTGGGACAACTTTCACACAATTGTTTCGGAATTTTTCAAGCCATGGCCTGATTTTCCATAGTTTATCTTTTTTATCTTCCTCAGTCACCCTATTATTATCTACAATATGAATGACTCTCATAAGAAGCTGAAAGCGATTCCTGCTCATGGTACTGGCCACAGGATCATACCTAGTGTCATTTTCCCAATAACATCGGGTACCAGGCATTTTTGCTAAACCCATTCTAAAAAAAATGCCTAACAGTTGCTTCATTTCTTTTTTGGTCGTGTCCACAGACTTGCCAGTTTTCTCCACACTGTATTGATTAGTCATTTCAACTAGAAGATCTAACATGTCCTCAGTCAAAAATTCTTCAAAGAACTGCTGAGGAGATGGCAGTTCATAATGGTCTGGAAGTTGCAGCTTTTCACCTCTGAAGATGACATCCGGTGGCTCAAATGTTGTTTTGTGCCAATGATATGTTTTTTTTTTTGGTTTTAACTGACTCTGGAGTTTCTAGCAACTCATTCTCATCTGAGTCTGGTGTATCTGCAACACCAGCTATTTCTTCATTGTCATATTCATTTGCTAAGGTGTATAATTCATCTTCATCATCAGTGGATGATACTTCATTTTCTAAGTCGCTTTCATTATGGTTAATAGTATCTAAAATGTTCAATACTTCACTTGTAGTGTAGATCGTCTTGGAGGAATGTGCCATTCTGTTAAGAAGAAAAAACAATAATTATTTACAATTTAAAAAAATACATTCAAATATTTAAAATAATCACTAGATCTTAGGTAGGGTAGATCTAGAACTTACATTCTAGATGCCTAAATTGTGTAAATAAAACCATATCTTGCAAATGAATTAAATAAATATAAAATTTAATTGCTAAAAAATTAAAAATAAAACTATTTTTTTGTTTGTATAAATAAAACAACAAAAACCATATGACAATTTGGTTACATTGTGCACCAGTAACCAGTAAAGCCCACTGGGTCACCAGTAACCCAAACAATTTTGAACGTCTAAAACTAAAAATTAGCCGTACTTTTTATTAATATTGACATTTAAAGTTGTTAATTAATATATTTTAAATTAAAATAAAACGTAAAAAGTATTTATAACTTACCTAAAATGATGTTTTTATTCTTCAAAAGCAAGTCGTGAATTGTATTTTTAAAGCTGCATGGGAGCCACCATTTGCAAAAGGGAAATGACTTAGTAATATTAAAAATAAGACAACAGAATTAACTCCCTTGTGTACCACAGTATGAACAATGGGCTTTAGAGGTAAAAAATATTTAAAAAATGCATTTTGTAAAAAAGTGTGAAGCTTTCAGCCAGGTGGGTAGCCGGTGGCCCAGTGGGCCTCAGAGGGTTAAAAAAATAATCTGTTTGAGGACTATATAGATATAGATGTTTTAAAGGGAAGAATGTTTGTTTTGATGTGTCTCATAGTAATAACATAACTTTTCCGATTGCTTAAAATGTGTATCATTTTAATTCTCTGTAATCACAAATTTATTTCAGCTTTACTTAAAAAACCTAATTCCACCCCCCCCCCCCCCTCCCTCTCACCCACCGCGCAGAGGTGAAAAAAATCCCTTGAATTACACATTTGCATTTTCAGGTTGGTTTTTTAATTTTATATATATATATATATATATATATATATATATATATATATATATATATATATATATATATATATATATATATATATATTTAGACGTTTTGTGTTAGATCTATGTATAAGTAAACTATCTTAAATGAATGAAAGTAGGCTACAATTAAGAAAGAAATATTACTATTGTAAATCTGTATCAGTCCTCACAAGCCGATGATGAAAACTAATACTAAAGCGAACAGACAAATGACGCTGTAATTACATGTCTGAGGCAATATATATATATATATATATATATATATATATAAAACAAGGGACGAAACACTTTTTAAGAACCATGAGAGGTCCCTAAAACAACTTCCCCCGTATTTGTTCCTATTTGATATGTATACGTATCAAAACCTAGCCCCGTCTCGTATTTGCCATTATGCAAATAAGTATTACCTTAACACTTGTATGTAAATTTTGTTTCCGTTAAATTCCTGATTGCTTCTACAGACTAAGATATTCACAAACATGTTGTAATTTGTTTTTATGAAAATAAAAGTGTTAAAATAAAAACATTCAAAAAAGGGATGAATTCTCAAAATAAGCTGTAAGTCAGAAAAGCGAGGTCCATAAAGAAGGGGAACACATCAATCTAAAAGTAACTGGTCAAGATGGTAGTGTAGTTCAGTTTAAAATCAAAGAAGTATACACCACTGCGAAAGTTAATGGGCGCTTATTGTAATAGAGCTTGAATGCAAACATGAGTTGTACGATTTAGATTTGATGGAAATCCTATAAATGAAGAGGACACACCAGCTATGCTGGAAATGGAAGATGAATATTCTATCGACGTCTTTCAACCTACAGACAGGAGGCCGATTGTCTCTTACATGTTAGAAGTAAGTAATACATTTGAATGGAAATACGTGAACTCTACTCCTCTTGCCCCGTACACCGTCATGTTTGAAAGGGAACTTTACTTTTTACATTAATTACATGTTAATTATGGTTAATGATGATGTAAAGACTTACATACTCATCTTCAATTTAACGCCCTTAAGACGCCACTCACAACAAAAATGCAGACAAGCAGATAACACATTCAACACATCTACCTAGACTGTCCCACTATATAAGAAAATGAAAAAGACTTTAGAAACCAAACGTGGACATAGCGATAACGCTAAATAAACTACCCATACACAAAGACTGGACTGAACTAGAACGAAAATTAGTGATCGATGCGATCTACAGACAAACTACTTGGACAAACTCAGAACCCAGTTTGACAACAAACACATTACGTCAAACACTTTGGACCGGATTTTCAACATACGACTCGACACATTTTTTTTTTGTATTTCGCACATCACCCTTAAGAAAGTCAATGTTAGCAGGGTTTATCAGCGGTTGATTTGGTTTCTCAACAACTGAGACAATTGAAATTAATTATCTCCCATTTAAAAAAAAAACTTATTAGCAAAGGGGGACAATGTATAATTAAACGTTAAAAAATATTTAGTAAGAAAAATACGAATACCTAAATTTACAAGTATAAAAATTATAAAAATAATTTTTAAAATACCCAAAAAATATTGTTTTGTTTTTATTTTAAAATATTGTTGAATAAAATACTTTTTTAAAATACAATTTATTAATATTAGATTTATTTCAAAATGTCTGCACACTAAATTATTAAGCTAAAAGCTAAATTATATATTTATTCCTTCATAGTTACCAACGATCTCTTTCATTTAAAAATATTTAAATTTTGAATCCCTTTAAGAAGGGACATAGTAAAAAATAGAAATAATAGATGTAAATAACAGTGTTCAAATCGAGTGAGTTCAGGGAGTGAGGACATTGTGGGCTAGCAGAAAACTTGCGAAAAACTTTGGCGTCCTCGCCAATGTGAAATACAAGACCATTTAATGGTAATACTTAAAGTGACCACTACTTTATTAAAAAAAGACAAAGCTTTATGTGGTCAAAAGTCAGAACTATATGTGGTCAATAAAACTCAACAGCGCCGTGACTAAGTCCGTTTACAGGAAACCTTTAATTAGTCTTCTAAGTTAATATTACTTTAAATGATTGATGATTTCACATCTTCAAAATTTATTCGAGGCCATTTATTATTGGGTTATATAGTAATATAAAATGTAATCTGAGCCATATCTTAAATGTCGTTATTTAAAAATAATATTTATTTAAAACTCGTGATTATTTTCTATAAATTATATGTAATATTCACAAAGGTTCAAATTGTTTTAACTTACACCATAAGAATATTTATTAAAATGTTAGCTACATTTTAGAATAATCGTACACTAGCTTCATTTCAAACTTGTTTGAAAACAGATTAAACTGAACAATTCATAGATAAATGCAACCATTTAAATATGATTAAAATACAAAAATTTGGATACCTGTGTGCATACTATATTTATGGATATTTTAGACCCATTGTCGATCTGTCAAAAGAGTAATCGAATTTAGATGGTATAATTGAACACTTTTATAACAGATAACTAAAGAAATATCAAGGGCAGAGGTCTGGGTTCGCGTGTGTGTTTACTGTGAATGACTTCATTATGGGCCATCCTGGGCCTTGGTAACGGTTGACGCCTATGCTCATGATAAAAGTCAGACCCCTGTACCTTAGACAAATGTCAACGATGCAAATACGTGTTGATGGTAGCAATTAAACGTAGGGTTAATGGCCACTGGTGTAAAATACGTGTTGGGGTGCAGATAATCAGTGTTTCATCCAGGCATTTCTCCGGGGGTATCCCCCCCCCCACACACACATTTCACGTGCCACCCCCCACCCCCCCCCCCCCCCGGAAAAAAAATTCTGGAACAAACACTGCAAATAATCATTTGAATATAGTATTAAATTCAGGCTATTACAATACTCTCCGTAAAAAGTTATTTCATTCCATGTAAATAGAGTTCATTTGCATTCAATGTGGTTTTGTTTACGTGGCCAGCGTGATGCCATCTTTCTGACATATATTTTTTTCGATTCAGTTTCTTCTTTCTAAATCCCGTGTAGGCCTTTAACTACAATAACAATTTAAAAATTGCTGCAGTTATTATCAGTTGTTACCAATATTCCCATTGCTCCACTAAGTTAGACATAAAACGTTTGGAAACCACGAAAATATGAATGCTTAAAAGCAAAACAAGACTTGCAATAAGACATACATTCTTAAATTACTTAACTGGTGAATTTGTTTTTTGATGAACTAAGGTAAAGTTAATAGAGTAGAAAAAGAAGACTCAATTATAAACCATGCATATATCAGTTTGTAGTTTAGTGATAATTTACTGATCTAACCTACACCGAGACGATAAAATTAATAACGAAACATTCAAACACATACGGTACAATCCCCAGTGTAAATCTGACGCTTGAAGTTATTATTATTTTTAGTAAGACTTGTAAACATTTGGGATGTGATCTCTACAGCTGAGATCGTCGGCCATAAATGATCTCCCATTAGAATATTTAAATATGAAATATTGTGCAAGGGAAATAATTTACATAAACGTTATTAAAAAAGAAAAAAAAACATTTAGACACTATTTTTAAACATTACACATACTAAAGGTGACTTAATTTTAAATTAAAAATTAATAAATACATTTTCTTTTTCTTTTGTATCAGTCATATACGTCAGCACTTTAAAAAAGTAAAATTTATATGTAAAATTATTTTTATATAAACTTTACTAATTGTGCAAAATATTTAATATTTTCAAAAATAATGTCATCCTTATGTATAGGAAAGGTATATTATTAAATATTTTAAATTTTGGATCCCTCTAGTAAGGGACGAAACTTTGAAACAGAAGAATGGAAGACCAACCAAGGCAGAATATCGAGGACCATAATACAAAGGGAACACATCAATCTAAAAGTAACGGGTCAAGATTGTAGTGTAGTTCAATTTAAAATCAAATAAGTATACACCACTGCGAAAGTTAATTGGCGCTTATTGCAATAGAGCTGGAATACAAACAGGAGTTCTAAGATTTGATGGAAATCCTATAAATGATGAGGACAGACCAGCTATGCTGGAAATGGAAGATGGAGATTATATCGATGTTGTTCAACAACAGACAGTAGGCCGATTGTCTCTTAAATGGTAGAAGTAAGCAATACATTGAAATGGAAACACGTGAACTCTACTTCTCTTGCCCCGTAGACCGTCAGTTTGAAAGTGTACTTTACTTTTTACATTGGAATGTAAGTTAAATGCTGATTAAACTGGGAAAGTGTGTTGTACATTGTACATTTCTCACATCGAAGCCACCAACAATTTTTTTTTAAATTACATATTAGTCATTTAGTAACCTACTGGACGCATAGACAAAACATATTAGCTAGAGAGGCAATTTTTAACTAAATTACTAAATTTATTTTTAAAAATACGACCTATATATATATATATATATATATATATATATATATATATATATATATATATATATATATATATATCAGTAAAAAAAAAAGTAAAACACAGTAAAAATAAAAATTAAATAACGATCTTTTTTTCCAAAGGCATCTAAAAATTATTGTTCACATTTACATATATATATATATATATATATATATATATATATATATATATATATATATATATATATATATATATATATATATATAT